GCTGGATCTTCGTATAATGCTAAGACGTTAAACTATATATTTTCTCTACCGCCGCGAATGTTCCAGGACGCAACAATATGTATGCTTAAGTTGTTAAAAAATGAATTTTTTTGGGCCACTGAAAATTTTTAAAATCCTCCAAGCATATAATTTGTCATTTTATACTGATTAATTAGGCTGTCTAGTATTTATTGGGCTGAGCAAATATATATTTGATGAATAATTTGATGATTATTTATAAAATATTTATTTATTTATTTAATTAAATGAATTTGAACATAAATTTTAAAAATTTGTCATGTGATAAAGAGTTTGAAGCTTCTTTTTTTATATTCATGAATATGATGTTTGTTGTTTAAAAAATAATTTGTAGAGATAAAGATAAAATGATAATCTAATATGGATTAAATATTTTTTATGATTCAAAAATATTTTTTGATGATTTAATTTAAGTTATTGTAACAAATTTTTTATAAATTCCAAGTTTTAAAAATTATGTATATTCTTAGATATATATTTGTTATGAAAACATCAAATATACTAAATAATTAGATGGGAAGATTTAAACTATTTTTTTATTATTTAAAATTTATCCAACAATTTAAATAATATTTAATTAATTATGCTAATTTTTATTAAATTTATAGTTATAATTATGTTCAATGTTTAAAATATTAGTACAACGTATAAATATATTTTAAAAAGATTTAAAACTTGAGTAATATTTGAACTCGACTTAGATTTGGTAAGAATATATATATATATATATAAAACTCAAAGTATAGGCTTACGTGTTAATTAAAATCAAGGATACAAGTGCTTAATGAATCTAAAGCTAGTCCTATAAAAATATAATATTTATTAAAACTTATGAGCCTTAGATTCAAACTAAATACAAGATCAAGCATAATAAGCTAAAAAATAGAAACACAAAGCGGAGGCCAAAAAAACTCTAGCACACAACAAAGGAAGAGACAACTAAAACCAAGACGAACCAACAACATTCAAAATCAAAGCAACACTCAGATTTAAAAAAAAGACTGCATTTGCAATAATGGCAGCACTAAAACAACTCCCAAAAGAATGGAAAAACGATCCAATGAGCAGCAGCCCAATGAATAGTCTCCACCAAGAGCATCCAAGCTACCTGAGAACAATACCAAAAAAGGAAATAAAACCTGTACGGACAAGCATAACCAAAGGGAGGATGGGGTAGCAACCCATCCCTATAACCAACACCAAACACCCACCAATAAACCAACCAACAAAACCAGATGGACCAACAATATAGCCACCAACCAAACAAAAAGAAAACAACCAAACTAACCAAATAGCTACTTTCTAGATTTCCTCCTACAACACTTATTGTCACGAGAGAACACTTTCTCAGCTACCTGACAAACTTCTAAATCATACAATTCCTTAAAGGAGTCATTTTGCTCAACATCAAAATCCTCACCCAACTCACCCGACGTTGATGGATACTCATCATGCCAAACTGAATGCCCTAAATAAATGACCCCCAAATTAGACATAAAATGAGCGTGTAAACCATTTGGGGACATGACAATTATAGGTACCTCAACCAGCGACTCAGATCCCAACGATACAACAGATCCGCCACCAACAGTTACCAGGGCACTCGACACAACAACTTCCACCTCACCATCCTTCTCTACCTCAACATGAGACAAAGACAAAGCACAAGCCCCCACATCTTCAAGGCCACTCAAATGTTTACCCCCTGCGACCATAGGATAGAAAACAAGTGAAACAAAACCACCACCACTACTAGCAGATTTATACTCAAACACCTGCTGTTGCAATTTTAGAAGAAGGTCCTCCACCATAATGTCACTTTTCATAATTGGTTTATATATTATCTGTAGCCTTAGACATCAACCAATAATAAAATGAATTCAATGGAAGCCTAATTTGATAATATATTTATCTTAAAATAAATTTAATAGCTATAAAAATCTCCTCGATCAAATTTAAGTTTTTTTTACTTAGCTTCCAACACCTTCAATAAAAAATAGTAATGAGATAGCATGTGTCTAAAAAATAAATAAATCAATAAATAAAATTAATGTGGAGATCAATGAAAGTGTAAAAATGTTAATGCCGACTTAGTGGAATATTATAAATATAGATTATAAAAAAGAAATAAAATTTATAGACTAACGATGACTGATCATCCAAAATTCTTTTTGTTTATGCCAACTCAAAAACATAAAACCAAAATTAAACAATAATTCGATGATTGTTTGATTTCGAGAAACCAATTAGAAATTAAAAAAAAAAACTAAGATCTCAGTTGTAAATGATCAAAATCAAGAATCTAGCTTAAAGAAAAATATATTTACATATACAAAAGGAGCACAAAGTGATACATAAATAAAATTGAGTACATAGATCAAGTGATACAAACAGCTTGTTCATGCTCACATCGCATTCTTCACATTTCATTATATATAAGAAGAAATAATTTTGCTTATGTATTCTCAAATTTTATTGAAGTAGTTGGACCTAATATTCGGTAGAAATTTCGATACTCGGAATGTGAGCAATCTTGTGCCGATCGGAGCCTCCATCCTCTCGATAGCGCTCCTTCAACTCTGGATGACATCGCTTAATATATAGACTATGCAAAGAGGGAGAAAGGTTCGGTAATTCCCGAAGCATGGGAACATCACATATATGTAGATTCTGAAGTGAAGATAAGCTTTCCAAGGAGGAAGGGAGAGACTCTAAGGACTCGAGAAACATAAACTTCAGCTCAGAAAGAGAAGACCTGACTTTCAGAAACCACTGATCTGCCTCATTTGGAAATGAAACCAGCTCATCATTATCCATGATTCTCAGCTCTTTTAAGGAGGCGATACTTCTCAATGGCTCCATTAGCAACACCGATGGATCACTTATTTCAAGATCGCTGAGCATGAGATGGCAATTATTAGTGGTCTCCACTTCTCGATATCTTCCCAGAGAGATCAGATTGGGGCAAATTATAATCATCAAGTATCTTAGTGCTGCAAGTCTTGCTATTTCATCAGCCAGAGGAAGAGATGTAATGTTTGGACAGTGAATGACCTCTAATGTTTCAAGGGGAATAGGATTTGAATTGCTACAAAAATTCAAAGTCGTCCACCCAATTTTCTGTATCTCCAAGGTCTTGAGCTTAGAAGGCAAAGAGGGCAACTCTTTCAACATCGGGCAGCCACGTAGCACCAGTTCAATTAAGCAAGGAAACAAACATCCATCTTCAGCAGCTACTCCTGCCTCAAACCAATCCTCTAATGCTTCTAATTTCGTAATATGTAGCTCCTCTAGCAATGGAAAGGCATGGTATTTATCATTCCCATTAAATTTACTTTCGAGCCATTTTACTTTCGGCATCCCATCAAGTTTTAGAGACTTGAGGAAGGGAAGTTGCCCAAAAGGAGGAAGAGTTTCCCACTCCAAGCAATCTGTCAATTCGATTTTCTCTAGATTCAAGATCGGATTGACATTGTTCATCCATATTGTTGACCTTGCACCCATGTATCCCTTTATTCTCAGATTCCTTAGACATTTTGGCGGCTGAAGGTTGTCGAGCACATTCTCATCTAAATCGATGTTCCTCGAATAAGTGCTCCGCCAACATAAGGTTAAATCTGTGAGCCTCTTCTTTTCACATAATTGGGCATCACAAGCCTCTTCGGCGTCCTTCAAATTTTCAAGGCAGTTGATTCCCAATTTGCAAAGATCATTCATATTCTCCAGCTCCCAAATTTTATAACCACTCACATCTCTAAGATCAAACATACTCAGTTCTTGAAGAGACTTTAGCTTCCCAATCCCACATATTGATGAAAAATTCTTGGGCAATTTCATGTGACGCAAGTTTGAAAGGTTATTAATGTCACTAGGTAAAAAATCATCAACTTCAGATCCGCTTGACCGCCAGTGATGATAGATTATGTATTGCAAGTGATAGAGATTACTTAGAGATCTTGGTAGCCTAGTGACATCAAATATTTTGATCTTCAAATATCGAAGATGCTTCAAATATCTAATCTCTTCAGGTATCATTTTCAGTTCATGAGTACGTATGTATAATAAGCGCAGGCATCTCGATGCTTTGAATATATCAATAAGTGCACTACAAAGATCCGGATTAGAATCTTCATAGACTAAGAAAAGAGAATGCAAATGTTTAAACTTCTCAATCTTTCTTAAGATGTCTAGATTTGTAGTTTCAATAGACAAGTGTCGAAGAGTCTCGTGAATTTTAGAAAGCAACTTTGTACTATTCTCAACTCTTAAACATTCATGTATGGAAATTAATTGTGCTAATTCATGTATTAAATCATGCATCTTGTAGTATCGTCCAAATTTGTCAAAGAAATTTTTTTTAACCAAAACATCAAAATACCTTCCTCCGATATCCTCCATAATCTCTTCTTGATCAAGAGATGGATGAATGAAACCCAATGCAATCCACATTCGGATTAAATCATCTTTATCAAACACATGATCTTGTGCGAACATGCCACAAAATGCGAAACAACTTTTTAAAGAATTTGGCAGAACTATATAGCTCAGTCTTAAGATGGAATTGATAGAATTCTGATCCAATAAATTGCTTTCTAGAACTGTTCTCCAATGCCTTTCATCCAAGTTCTCCTTCAGAACACCACCAATGACTTTAGTTGCCAATGGAGATCCTAAAAGCTTTTTAACTATCTCTCCAGCAATGGCTCTTAATTTTTTATGATCATCAGGGGGGTTCTCTACACCAGCAAATGCGTGAGAGTTGAGGAGCTGCAAACACTCATCTTCCTCTAGGCCCTCTAATCTAACTATTTTCTTCTTCTTGTTAATTACATTTGCAAACATCAGTGCAACTGAGTCTGTTCGAGTTGTTACCAGAATCTTACTACCGCAACCCCCAGAAGCTAGAGGGGCGAGCACATTCTCCCATTTACTTTGGTCCCACTTTTCCTCCTCCCAAATGTCATCTAGCACAAGTAAGAACTTTTTGGACATCACCTCATTCTTGAGACGCTCATGAAGTGCCTCAAGTTTCTCCAAACGAGGCCTCTCCTTCTTAAGAAGTTCCAGCATATCTGCAATGACTTCTTTAGCATCAAAGTTGTTGGAAACACAAACCCACATTTTAAGATCAAATTCCTTCGTCATTTCATCTTCATAGATATGTTGCAAGAGTGTTGTCTTCCCCATACCACCATGGCCCACTATAGATAGAAGAGAAATGTTTCTGTACAAATCACTTCCCCGAGGCTCATTTGATGGATTCCCCAGCCACTCCATAACAAGCTCCTTCTCTTTGCCTCGACCGATGAGATCATTTTTAGGCGAGGATCCCGTTTCACGCGCTCTGTACAGCTCAAGCTGCTGCTCCTGCTTTGCGTCTTTTACAAGATAAAGGAAAGAAGAAACATTAGTTGAAACTCCATAAAGTTTCTGCACAGCCTCCTCCAGTCGCTTCAAGTTGGGATCAATTTTGAGAGCACGTTTGCCAATTTTGACAAGTCTTTTCTTCATGGATTTCATGATGGAACGCACCTTTCGCAGCTTCTTGTTTTTGGTCAGCTGTTTTTCAAGTTCCATGTACTCCAGCTCATCCAACACGTCATCTGCATCATCAATGGCATCTCGTAGCTTCCATAGCCATTTGTTAAGAGCCGGATTTTGGTCTGTGATCCGCTCTTGGCTGGAAGCAAAGTGGACGACAGCTTGGATCTGGGGGAGAATCTCTTTCAGCTTTTCCAGCTCCTCCTTCGCGCGTTTCTGCCATCTGGCTTGATCTTTCAGGTAACGCAAGCCAGCGCTGATGAGCTTCTCCATGATTGGATCAAGAAACATATCCGCCATGGCAACGACGATCGATGTAGAGCAGAACAACTGAACAGTAGGAAAAAAAAGGAGATTGGAAGAGATGCAGATTAGATAGTCTACCAGCTCACGACAATATCCTGCTGGTTAAGACAAGGGAAATCCTTACATCCTTCATTTCAACCGTTCCTTTGAGATCCGACGGCTTAGCGGAGACGTCAATAGCGCCAAGGAATTCCTACCTAAAGCAATTAAAAGTTTCATCAAAAAGCCTAGGCAACCGGATAATCATTAGTTGACTACTTTCTGAATCTTTAAATATAAAATTTTTTTGAAATTAAAAATGTTTTATTAAAAAAATCGTTTTGGAAAACCTAATTTTAAACTTCAAGATTGAATATTTTTCTTCATGAGATTAAATTGTTCTTATTCAAATATTCAGTATAATATTTAGATACACATTTGCATAGTAAATTGTAATGGATTTAACCACACCAGTTAATGAGCCTTCATTCTTCATCTGTATACATTCCAAAAGAAGTAATGGTAGATCTAAGAAGAAGTCTTTTAGTATTCAGAATAAGGGCAGATAGGATAGCAAAAGAATAATAACATTCAAAGAACAAAGCACCCATAATTTTAAGGCCTCCCACCAGTGCAAGCCAAGCATATACTGAATATCTCAGAACATGTTTTTTTTTATGCCAAATCAGATTTGCCCATGAATAAGAGGGAAAATCCTTATAAAATTCTTTCATGAAGAGGCCATCTGAATATATATGGAGATGCGACTTACATAATTTTGGAATGTTGAGATTGTTGATTAGAAAAAGATTTTGTGACCTAAACTTAATATCGCACTAGTTAAAATTGGATTCAAAGACCACATAGAATTGATTAATATTAATTAATATAGATGTGAATGGAGTTACCTAAATTTTCATGGTCTTGGAAGACGGGGAAGCATGCAGAAAAAGCAGAAAAATATTCAATAAAGTTTTTTTTATGTTCATATACTTGCTTGATGTTACTTTAAAGGCTTGAGCTTGTGCAGCTTGTGTTTGTCAAATAAAAAGCAACTTATTGTGATGAAATTTTAAACTCAGTGGAACAAAACTCATCCAAAAGAATAATTAAGACTAGTAAATGGCTTCAAAAGGATATTGCTCGGAATATGTAGAGCTCTACCATTCTCCTTATTGGATTAGAATATGTTACGAATAAAATCACTGATGAGCGCAATGACTAATTATCATAACCCATAATGTTCTTAGCAATAGACAATTCTTTGCTTTGTTATAATCTTCGTCTTCGTCTTCTCATTTGGGGAGTCAAGAGAAAGTTAAATCTAGCCTTGTCAACTCAATTCGAGGATAAGTAAAATTTCATTTGCAACTAGAATTGAATTAGCTCATATCTAATTAAATTGAATTTCATTAAAATGATTTAGGTGATCTAATTCAATCACATAAAACTAATTTCAACTCCACCACGCTAAAAACATCCAACAAACCAAACTGACAGCAACAGAAAGTCCATGAGCCACCCACCACAGCAAAGAGACATGAAAAAGCCGTCAGTACGGCCAATGCATCCACCAAAGATATTAAGATGAGCCATTAAGCAGATGTTTGAATTTTTCCCCATTCTTCCAACTAGAATTTTTTTGACAACTAGCCTTAGTGATGATAATTTGAACAGTGGCTTTGCTACAATACTTATTGCCAAATTTTCTTGCATTCCTCTCCCTCCATAAGTTATAGACAGAACACCAAAGCAAAAGCAGGTAAAAGGAAGACTTACCCCGCAGTGAAATGTTCACTTTACCAATAAAAATTAGCAATCTGATATAAATTTGGACGCAATAGAAATGATTTTAGGCAAGGGATGAGATCAGTTATAATAGAGCAAGTGTAGTCACATTCAAAAAAAAAGGTGTGATGAACTTTCAGGTTTAGCATAGCATAAAAAGCATAAAGGGTCCACAGGAATATTTCTCATAATCAGCTAATCAGATGTTTGATCCCACAAACCAAGCACAGCCAGCCATAGGAAAACGAGTGGCAACATGCTTATGCCAAACAGTTTTATAACAAGACACCTCCCTCTCATTCGAGTAGAAATCCAGCAAATAATCACCAAAACACCTAATCCTCCCATTTTTCCATAACAGACCAGCAGCATGGGGAATTTTTTTTTCCTAAAAGGAATCTGCTGCTTATTGTAATTTTTTTCCCTCATTAATTTAGGAGAGTAGCATGTGGAATTGTGGATCTACAATGCAAAGTGGCAGGCAAGGCTATCTTCTTGCATGTGACGTGCTTTTGGAGCTTTACTAAAAAGAACGAATGTTCTCTTTCAGATTGATGTAGAAGAACAAATCTTTTTAGCAGTAAATAACAAATAGAACTAAGGCAACTGGAACACTAATTTCAATTTCACAATCGTCTGAAGAAGAA